TTCAGGTACCCGAATGGAAAGCGGCTGTTTTAGAGGAGATGAGGGCTCTGGAGAAGAATCAGACATGGGAGGTTATAAATTTGCCAAAGGAGAAGAAAACTGTTGGGTGCAAATGGGTATTCACAGTCAAGTTCAAATCTGATGTATAAAGCACGTCTAGTAGCCAAAGGTTTCACTCAAACCTATGGCATAGATTACTCTGAGACTTTTGCACTAGTAGCTAAACTAAATACTATACGGGTTCTTCTCTCAATCGCGGTAAACTTGGATTGGCAGTTGCAACAGTTAGATGTCAAGAATGCCTTCTTAAATGGAGATTTAGAAGAAGAGGTTTTTATGGATCCTCCACCCGGTTTTGAAGATAAGTTTGGTTCAAAGGTGTGCAAACCAAGGAAATCTCTCTATAGGCTAAAACAATCACCACGAGCATGGTTTGAGAAATTCACAAGCTCGGTAAAAAGACAAGGTTATTCTCAAGCCCAGGCAGATCACACACTCTTCTTTAGAAGATTAAAGGAAGGAGGAATTGCCATCCTTATTGTCTATGTGGATGACATTATCTTGACAGGAGATGATATTTTAGAAACGGCCCGATTGAAAAGGTGCTTGGCAGATGAATTTGAGATCAAAGACCTCGGGAACCTAAAATATTTCTTAGGTATGGAGATAGCAAGATCTAAAGAAGGAATAATGGTCAGCCAAAGGAAGTATGTACTCGATCTTCTCGAAGATACTGGAATGAGTGGGTGCAAACCAATTGATACTCCTATTGATCCCAATGTAAAACTCGGGATGAGTGAGGGTGACAGGGTTGATACTACGAGATATCAGAAGTTGGTTGGAAGGTTGATTTACTTATCACACACTAGACCAGACATAGCTTTTGTCGTGAGTATGATAAGCCAATTTATGCACCCTCCTCAGAAAATTCATATGGACGCTGCCTATTGAATCCTTAGATATCTCAAGGGTTCTCCGGGAAAAGGATTAATGTTCAGAAAATATGACAACCGAAGAATTGAAGCCTATACAGACGCTGATTGGGCTGGATCCGTGACTGACAGGAGGTCTACAACTGGATATTGTTGCTTTGTGTGGGGAAACCTAGTTACATAGAGAAGCAAAAAGCAAAGTGTTGTTACCCGTAGCAGTGCAGAGGCAGAATTTCGAGCAATGGCTAATGGGCTGTGTGAGTTAATTTGGCTGCAGCGGGTTATAGGAGATCTTCAACTAACAATAGAAGCTCCAATGAAGCTTTACTGTGACAACAAGGCTGCCATTAGCATTGCTAATAACCCTGTTCAACACGATCACACTAAACATGTGGAGATAGATCGGCATTTCATCAAAGAAAAACTGGAATCCGGAACTGTGTGTTTACCCTTCCTGCCAACATCTCAACAGATAGCTGACATTTTAACCAAGGGGTTATTTAGACCAGGGTTTGATTCTTGTATTAGCAAGTTGGGTTTAAAAGATATCTATGACCCAACTTGAGGGAGAGTATTGAATTATGTACATTAATTAATTAATTAATTAGGAGATATCGCATATCTTTCCTAGTTTAGGGGGAAGTTCCTATTTTTTAGGAAATATCCTAGGAATATCTTGAAGATAGTTTCTCTATCCTATTAGGGTTCCTAGTTTCCCGATTCTGTTAGCCACGGGATCTAGGTCTTTTGTAACCTATTTATACTCCGGTTTTGTACCAATTAAATCAAGAAAGGATTTATATTTTTTCCTCAGAAACTTACAACTATTTATCAAACACTCAGCTTCAAGGGGAGTTACTGCATTGATAGTATGTGTGGATGACATTATTGTTATAGGGAATGATCCAAAGGAGAAGGAAGCATTGCAGAAGTACTTGGCCAAAGAATTCGAGATTAAATATGTCGGGAAAATAAAGTACTTTCTCATAATAGCAGTTGCTCGGTCCAAAGAAGGAATTTTTGTCTCACAATAGAAGTATGTCCTGGGTTGAAAGAAACAGGAAAAATGGGATGTAGACTGTTGGATACTCCTATTGAGCCAAATCACATACTAGGGGAATCCATGGGAGGAGAGCTAGTTGACATGGGCATGTACCAGCGACTTGTTGGGAAGTTGATTTATCTAGCACACACGACCAAACATCTCATATGTCGTCGGTGTAGTAAGTCAGTTCATGCAAAATCCATAGGAGAGTCATCTTCTTGCGGTATACAGAATCTTGCAATATTTAAAAAGCTGTCCTAGAAAAGGAATTCTGTTCAAGAAAGGCACAAGGCTGGAACTTAAAGCATACACATATGTAGATTATACCGGTTCAGTCACTCATAGAAGGTCAACGTCTGGGTATTGTACTTTTCTTGGTGGAAACTTAGTGACCTGGAGAAGCAAAAAACAACCAGTGGTTGCCAGGTCCAGTGCAGAGGTAGAGTTTTGGCCTATGACACAGGGGATTTGTGAGTTGTTATGGCTTAAGTTTATACTAGATGATCTAAAGATAAAGTGGCAGACACTGATGAAGCTTTACTCAATATTGCTCACAATCCAGTCTAACATGACAGGACTAAACACGTGGAGGTTGACAAGCATTTCATTAAAGAAAAACTTGAAAGTGGGTTGATTTGTACTCCTTATGTTTCTACTAGTAGTCAGCTTGCAGATGTTCTAACTAAGGGGCTAGCGAGTTCAACGTTTCAAAGAATCATATGCAAGCTAGGAATGGAAAATATCTATTCCTAGCTTGAGGGGGAGTGTTGAAAATCCGAGATTACATATCCCATAGATAGTGTGAGAATATTTGTATCAATAATAGGCAGATACCGGTTTTCTAATATAGGAAATTAGGCTATAATTTTCTATTAGTTTCCTTATTCGTTAGTTTCCTTATTCTAGAATAGTCAACTTCCTAGAATATATTGATAGCCTAACTCTATATAATGTAATAGTGCTCTTTGAACAAATTGAATGAGAATTATTCTCTGATTTTCCACAGCTTATGGCAGGAACTTGATCACTATCAGGTATTTGTGATGAAGTGCCCAGAAGATGCTACCATCTTGAAGAATTTTATTGAGAAGGACCGAGTATCTGATTTCCTGGTTGGACTCAATCATGAATTTGATCAAGTAAGGGTTCAAATACTCGGTAGACAGGAAACACCTTCCTTGGAGGAGATGATTTCTCTAATCTGTGCAGACAAGAGTCGAAGAAGTGTAATGCTCGAGCCACAGGCTTTAGGTGGTTCAGCCTTGGTAACAAAAACTGAACAACCTCAGATGCAGGAAAGAGGGAAAGCAAATCTGTCAAGGTTCCTGGGACAACAAGGATAATATGTGGTGCACCTATTGTAAAAACTGAGACATACCAAGGTGGAGGTCAGCAGAGGGTTCAATCTCAGGCTCATCTGATAGAATAAACCAATCAGAGTGATGGACAGGAGAAAGGAGGACTCAATAGTGAAAAGATTGAAAAACTTAGGGGCTTGATAAGATCTCTTGAGAAGCGCTCTGGTACATGTTCATTAGCACTCTCAGGTAAGTCTTCATTTCCTTTTGGACTACATGTCTCTGAAAAGTGTTTGACTAACTCTTGGGTAATTGACTCAGGATCCACAGATCACATGACTCACACCTCACAATATTTCAACACTTATACTCCGTGTCCTAGTAGTAGGAAAATTATTGTTGCCAATGGTTCCCTTGCTACAGTTGCAGGAATATGAGACATCCACGTAACACCTTTTCTTGTCATTAAAGATGTTCTTCATGTACCAAAATTGTCAACAAATCTTGTTTCAATTCAAAAGCTCACAAAAGATCTAAACTATTATGCAATTTCCCATCCTTCTTATTGTGTTTTTCAGGACTAGGGTTCGGGGAGGAAGATTGGACTTGCTAAGGAAAGGGATGGGCTTTACTATCTTGAAACCCTGAGTACTTCGAAGAAAGTCATGAATAACTTGTCCTTATCTTTTCTCAGTTCTTCAAATAAAGATATCATTTGGCTTCATCATTTTTGCCTTGGTCATCTGTCTTTTAGAGTCTTAAATATCATGTTTCCCTCCTTGTTTAAAGGATTGAATGTTACAGATTCTCATTGTGATATTTGTGAACTTGCAAAGCATACTCGTGTGTCTTTTTCCATTAGTAATAAAAGTTCTCACCCTTTTGAATTAATCCATAGTGATATTTGGGGACCATCCACAATTCCAAATATTTCAAGGTCTCGATGGTTTGTTTCTCTAATTGATAATTGTACTAGGGTTACATGGATATTCTTACTTAAACAAAAATCCAATGTAAGCAGTGTTGTTCCTAACTTTCATTCCATGATTCATAACCGATTTGGGGTAAAAATTAAAGGCATTAGGTTTGACAATGTAAGGAATTACTTCAACCAAGTTTGACACACTACTTCTAAAAGTTAGGCATCATTCATGAATCATTATGTGTAAACACACCACAACAAAATGAGGTGGCTGAAAGGAAAAATGGTCATTTATTGAATACTACTTGGGCATTATTATTCCAAGGGAATGTTCCTAAATCCTATTGGGGGTAAGTTGTTCTTAATGCCACATACATGATCAACAGACTACCCTCACGAACATTAGATTGCACCTCCCCCATGGAAAACCTTGCCAAATTCTATCCTCATGTCAGAACATCAAATGGTCTTATACCTAGAGTCTTTGGTTGTACCTCTTTTGTCTACATCCATAGCCAAAACAGAGGGAAATTAGACCCAAGAGCGATCAAACGTGTGTTCCTTAGCTATTCGTCTACACATAAAGGGTATAAATGTTATCATCCTCCTACCAGGAAAGTTTACATATCTACAGATGTCACTTTTGTTGAGAACCCTATTTCACAAAGTCTTTATCTTCAGGCGGAGATTTCACTTATGGAAGATAAAGACTATGGTGGTGATCTATCTTCTTTAGGGTCTCTTGATCTACCTCTACCCTCGACTTCATTGTCCCCACCACTCAAAAATAGAGTGCTTCACTTCCCATTGGGTCTGAGGCTGCCTTAATTCCCGAACCTGTGTCCATTCCAGAGTCTATGCATGTTTGTATTTATGACTCTATGAGATTTCCTTAGGTGTACACACGAAGAAAAACAATTCCAGACCTGACACAAGTTCGAGATGACAACCGAGCCCTGCTAATGAAGACATGGTAAGTTCTGACTCATCCTTGCACATACCACCTAATGAAACCAAAAAAGGGATTCTAATCTACCTATTGCTATTGGAAAAGGTGCTAGATAATGCACAAAGCATACATTATACCCGTTGTCCCACTATGTCACTCAAACGTGTCTCACCACTCCATAGAAATTTTATTGTGAATCTGCACACTATTTTTGTTCCAAACACTTTATCTGAGGCATTGTTAAAAAGGGAGTGGAGAGATACTATGAGAGAGGAAATGGACGTATTGGAGAAAAACAATACTTGGGAGATTGTTGATAAGCCAAAAGGGAAGAATCCAGTTGAAAGTATCCAGTTGGTTGCAAATGGGTTTTCACCTTAAAATACAAAGCCGATGGCTATCTTGAAAGGTATAAAGCGAGGTTGGTTGCCAGGGGCTACACTCAGACTTATGGAGTTGATTATCAAGAGACATTTGCTCCTATGGCGAAAATGAATACTGTGAGAATCTTGTTATCCCTAGCAGCTCATTTTGACTAGCTACTTCAACAATATGATGTGAAGAATGCCATTCTGCATGGTGACCTAGAAGAAGAAATTTACATGAGCATTCCACCTAGATTTGAAGGAAAGGGTACAGCTAACAAGGTATGCAATTGAAAAAGGCATTATATGGATTGAAGCAATCACCTAGAGCTTGGTTTGGGAGATTTGCTAAAGTGATGAAAGCAACGGGATACATACAGAGTCAAGGAGATTACACACTTTTCGTCAAACACTCGGCCACAGGAAAAGTAACAGTTTTTTTAGTATACGTTGATGATATTATTGTCACAGGAAATTATGAGAAAGAGAAACACAATTTAAAGCAATGCTTGACCAAGGAACTTGAGATTAAAGAGCTTGGAAGACTTAAATATTTCCCCGGAATTGAAGTTTCATACTCAAGACAAGGAATTTTTATCTGACAGCCAAAATATGTGACATATCTCTTGAAGGAAACATGAAAGCTCGGTTGTAAACCAATAGCTACACCTATTGAGCCAAATTAGAAGATGGGAGAGGCAAAGGAAGAACTAGCAGTTGATAGGGAGATGTACCAACGTTTGGTGGAAAAACTTATTACCTTGCTCATACTCGGCCAGACATCGTTTATTCAATAAGCATGATCAGTCAATTCATGCATGATCCAAGAGAAAGACATCTACAAGCTGCCTACCGTGTGTTACACTATTTGAAAGGTAGTCCGAGGAAAGGAGTTCTATTCAAAAACAAAAAATGAACTCACATTGGAAGCATAGACAGATGCAGACTATGCAGGCTCATCAGCAGATAGAAGATCAACGTCTGATTGTTGCACATTTCTTGGTAGAAATCTGGTAACGTGGAGGAGTAAAAAGCAGAATGTAATGGCAAGGTCTAGTGTTGAATCAGAGTTCAGGGCAATGGCTCAATGAGTGTGTGAATTATTGTGGCTGAAGATCATCCTGGATAATGTAAGAATCAAGTGGGAAGGTCCAATGAGATTGTACTGTGACAATAAGTCAGCAATAAACATTGCTCATAATCCAGTACAACACGACAGGATGAAGCATATTGAGATTGACAGACACTTCATCAAAGAAAAGCTAAAAGCAGGCCTGATCTGCATGTCTTATGTACCTTCAGGGAGTCAACTGGCGGATGTTTTAACCAAAAGACTCAACAGTGCGACATTTCATGGATTTATTTCCAAGTTGGGAATGGAAGATATCTATAGGGATTTGCTGGATTGTACAGTAGTCAAGGGATTTGCTAGATTGTACAGTAGTCAAAGGATTTGCTAGATTGTATAGTTGTCAATCAACATGTATATATTTAAGAAAGGATTTTATGTTGATCCCACGAATTATGGGATTTGTAACGCTAGCATTTAGTTTCCTTTTTTACTTCCTAGATTAGTCTATATAGAGTGCGTTTGAAACTCGTTCCAAAATGATTTTTTTTTTTATGAAAATGAAAATAAAAACGTTTTCATTTTCATTTTGGAATCATTTCTGAAAATGCGTTTGGTAGTTTTATTTTGAGATTGTTTTTAGTTTAAAAAAACTGAAATTGTATTTGGTGGGATAATTTTTAAAAACATGTAATAATATTTAAGAAGAGTAGCGGGGGCGCAGTCGCAGAAGAGTGGGCCGGGGGGTAGGGGTGCCAGTTGGAGAAGGGGGGGCCAGTTGTTGAAGAGTGGGGAGTGGCAGTCAAAGAAGAGTAGGGGGTGCGCAGTCGCAGAAGAGTGGAGAAAATGAAAATGGGGAAATGGAAAACAACTTTGGTTCGTTTTCAGAAATGCCTCAATCTTTGGGAAGATGACAAAAACGTTTTTGATTTTATTTTTTGTACGGTATCACCCCAAACACAATTCCCCTTTATTTTCATTTTTTTATCCTTAGAAAACGTGAAAAACGTTTTCAAAAACATAAACAAACATGCTCTTAGTGTGGTAACCTACAACTACAATTAAATAAGAAAAAAACTATTCTCAATCTCTTTTCTGCGTTATTACTAATTAAATGCAATGAAATATCAGTCTAGGAAAAATATAAAAAGAACAAAGCTCAAATTCCAACCAACATTCATTCGGGCAATCAACAAGATAACAAACTCAAACGGTAGAGTGTTAAAGAAGGAGATATTCAGTATCAATTATACCGAATATTAGGGGTAATTAGGCTGATCATAGAAGATTAGGTCAAGGAGCTTGATTGAAGAAGATTAGGAAAGTAGCAATTATGATTGATTTTGTACAGCTATTAACAATCCATATTTATTAGTTTTTCCTAGAATAGCTTTTCTCTGTAACTAGTATTTAAGTATACATTGTAAACCTAACAATATATGAAAAACATATTATTTTCTTCCCCATATTCGTTTATATGATATCAGAGCGATTGAACCCTATAATTCTTTGAACCCTAGCCATCCTCGTACAACCCTAGAAGCCTTTTGAACCCTAGCCGTCCCAGCCATCCTTCCATAATGTCTGAAACTATGTCAGAGTCCACAAACACCTCTGTGAACCAGTCAAAAGCCATTGAAACTAATCTGTCCAGACCACATGTTTCTGCCCATGATTCCCATTCTGTCCAGATCACTGCAATACGTTTGCATGGAGAAAATTTCCTGCGCTGGTCTCAGTCTATGTGCATGTACATCCGCGGGAGAGGGAAGATTGGCTACTTAACAGGAGAAAAGAAGGAACCTGCCCATGAAGATCCTTCTCATCCAACTTGGGATGTTGAAAACTCCATGGTTATGACATGGTTGGTGAATTCAATGGAGGAAGAAATTAGCTCCATCTACATGTGTTACCACACTGCTAAGGAGCTTTGGGACAATATCAATCAAATGTATTCAGACTTGGGAAATCAGTCCCAAGTGTATGAATTAACACTGAAACTCAGAGAAATCCGCCAAGGTGAGGGAAGTGTCACAAAATATTTTAATTCTCTGAAACTCTTGTGGTAGGATCTAAACCTTTTTAGTGATTATGAGTGGAAATCGCCTGAGGACTGCAATCATTATAAGAAA